GTATGCTTAAGACTGATCTGATTCTCAAATAAATAAATTCCTACACATACTTAAGGCTTATATCCAGGGCTGGCACTAGACATTCTGTAGGCGGGTGCAGTCTCTGCACATCCTAAATCCTGCTTCTAAGCGTATCCATACATTATAAAAATTTTGCTGCCACTATATTTTGTATCAAGTGCCTTCCTTAAATTCTAGACATTTTGCCCTTACTTTTGTAACCTGATGCTTCTCCAAATTCTAATAATTTCACCTTCTATAAATTTTGCCACTTGGTGCAGTGCCACCAGCTCTGGTACCATTCCTGAGGTTATCTGAAGGACAAATCAGTTATTCTCAATTCCAACAACACTAAATATAGTATCTTGGTCTAGTTTTTTATGTTTTATTCATGCATATTTGATATTTTTCACAATAAAACTTGTGGAGTGTACCGATTCTTAATCTCACCTTGACATTAAATAATATACCTTCATACTGAAGAAACAACAATTTATTAGCATAACTATATATGATCAATAATTTGGCTCCTCAGCTCAAAATTTACAAAATCTATCTTTTGCATATGGAAATAAATTTCTGTTAAATTTCTTGCCAACATTTAGCAGCAGGGTTAGCTAAGCCTGTAATCATTGCCAAGCATAATGTCAACATAAAAGGCTACCATGTTCTTTGATATTCAATTAATAATATCAAAAAAAAAAAAAAAAAGTGATGCATAAGTTTAAACATCACTTCAGGAGTCATTTCTCAAGCTGCAGTTATTATAGTCAAGTGATGAGGAAAGCAAAAAATAATAAATAGTGCTTCTCCAGGCTGACATCAGGAGTCCAAATTATTCAGCAGGCGTAAAATGTTTTGGTTTGAAATGTATACCAAGCGAAATGGCAGCTAAGGAGCCAAATTATTGAATTAAAAATTATGCTAATAAATGGTTGTTTCTTCAGTATGAAAGTATGTTATTTAATGTCAAAGTGAGATTAAGAATAGGGATAATCCACAAGTTTTATTATGAAAAATATCAAAAAGGCATGAATAAAAAAATTTTTTTTTTTTAAAAAAAGAGGTTGCTGTTGTTCGGAGGTTTGAATTTAGATCATTCTGATTATTGGACGTCCAAATTTTAGAATATACTAAATATTGGACATCCGGATTTCATACTTTGTAGTGTAGCTCAGTGAATCCATATGTAATTGTGTATGTATACAAATCAAGATATAAAGAGCTACTAATTATTGCATTGAAGAGAAAAGATGATCAGCAGATACCACATTTTAATAATAAACCAAATATTGCATTTTTGATAATTTATTTAATCAATATATCTAGTCCAATGATTTTAAACTTTGGATGTAATAAAAATTATAGAATAACTGTAGTGAAGCAACAGCTCATTGCATAATTTTTTAAATATAACAAATACAATTAATTTTGCCCTGAAAAGGACTGCAATAAAGAAAAAGGTCTTAAAAGCACTGTTGCAAAGCTTAAAAGCACTTATCTATAGAATTAAAAAAAATCACCTTAATTCTTTCCTTTGGATCAATCCAACTACATTTATATTATTTTTAGTATATTATCCTATTTTTCAGCATACATTGGTAGTACTAAGACTAGCTCAAATATCAATTGTTTCACTTATTTTTCTTAGCTTTTATTGAAAAACTGAATTTATCAAACTAAACAAAATTTGCAATTATTATTTTTAAAATCATGTTAATCACTTTATTATTGGATTTATACCAAATAAATTACATACTTTGATAATAAAAATGAGGACATATATAAAATTTTCATATGAACAAAAATTCATATTTAATTTCAAGAGTACAAATAATATTTTACATTAGATAATGTCTAATTCAGAAGTCAAACAACAAAAATCAGCGTTATATTTACAAAATTTTCACAGGACTAGTTTCGATGGTTTTACTGAACCACCATCTTCAGCTGCAAAACCGCAAATGAACAAGATAGGAAATAATGATTAGATAAGATAAGAAAGCTGGACAGAATAAGCAAGTGGCGCCATCTGTTGGTGAAACCAGAACTAAAAACATAATTTCTTTTTAAAGGCCGAAGGCAAATTTGGATTGGAATTAGGATCATTAACTAGAACAGAAAGATTTTTATGAATGTGAAATGCCTCTAGAAAATCCAGTTCTCCAATGGAAGATGATTTTTGAATAATTTTGGCAGCAGAAAACTGAAAGTGTGGTTTTCGGACCAACAATGTTGAGCAACAGAAGACTTCTGTGTTTCCTTTTTTCTAACATATGCCTCATGTTCCTTGACGCGAAATTTTAAGGCTCTCTTAGTTTGGCCAATGTAAATTAAACCACACTGGCAAGGAATCCTATAAATACCCCAGGAATTCATATCCGGAATGGGGTCCTTGAGTATGGAACTCGGAATTTTGTTGATGGGAGAATAAACAACAGAAATTTAACCAATAAGTTAAATTTCTGCAAAATATGTGCAACTTTATAGCTAATTGATGGAAAGAAGGGAATGACAACAGAATTTTTATAATATCCTAAAACAAGAGTGTGCCTTTTAGTGTGTTGAGATGAATTTTTTAACTGCTTGATTAATAATGTTAATTAATAGCGGAACCATGCCGGGAAGTTTAAAGTTTCAAACAATTTTGATTCATAATAATGCATGTAGATATCAGCCAGGATGGGACTGAGGGGGCTTCCCATGGCTAATCCCTCAGTTTGCTTGTAATATTTATTTTGGAAAACAAAATGTGTTTGTTTCAAACAGAGTTGAGTGAGTGAGAATATTTTTTTTGGAAAACAAAATGTGTTTGTTTCAAACAGAGTTTCTGAATTAGTATTTATTCGGCGTGTTATTGTGTCTTAATTATTAGATAATGTGTTTCGTATTATTAAAAATTTAATGAAATATTTAACATGAGTGCATAAAAGCATAATTCATTTTATGTATTGAAACACGAGCCTTTTTTACTTGGTAAAACAATGGAAACATAGTGTTTGCATGATTTACTTTTTCCAGTTTTTAATTAGTTGGACAGCAGTTTCAGTTGAACATAACCTTTGAACTAATTTGAAAACACTTTCAAATAAACCCAAACTCTGAATTAAAGCTGAACTGAATTTTTATATCTAGGCAAATTCCTAGTATATAGCACTAAATCGGCCCAGCATGTTTTAGCATCCCTAATGATTTGAAGCTTGAATCTGTTATTTGTAGATTTAATTCCATATACAGTCAAAAGTTGTTAATTCGGACACCCATAATCTGGAATGATCTATAATGCGGACCTCAAAGCAAAAACTTTCTGCGCATGCGCCACGTTGACACATGCGCATAGGCATTTACGCGTACGCATAAGACCTTTAGGACTGCGCATATGCGTGTGCGCAAACGCAGAATACGTTTTCGCGTGCGCGTTTAATATATAACGGACGGTATAAGAAAATTATTTAATTATCTATTTCAGTTAATGTGATGATTGTGTTGTTCCTTAACCTTCGAATTGGATCCGGTTCATTATTTTTTGCAGACTGTAAAAGCAATTTTATAAAAGTAAACTTGAACTTTCAATTATGTCAAATAGAATTTCCGATGCTGGAGCTCCCAAAGGATCTTCAAAACGAAAGTATGTTTCGATGCCCATGAAACAAAAAGTGGAATTGCTGCAAAAAATGGATAAAGACATGAAGGTGATAGAGAGGTTAGTGAAAACGAAAAAATTTTGATTGACAAGTTAGTTGGTATTGGCACAGCAATTACGGGACTTGAACAGCGGAACTTCGTAACTGAACAAGAAATTATGTCTGTTTATAGAATTAAAGAGAAAGTATTATCACATAAAACGAAGCAACTTAAACAACTTACATTGAAAGAAATGTTTAATAAAGTAAACAAATAAATATTAAGCTTTTGTTTTGTAAATTTTGATACCCTTTAGATCATAATTGTTCTTTATTTCATAAATTACGGTTTCATATTTTTAATTTTAGAATTTCTGCATGCCATCTTATGAGATTTAAACTGATGATCTATAATCCGGAAAAATCAATAATCCGGAATCGCCGAAGTCCCGACGAATCCGGATTAACGACTTTTGACTGTATTATTAAGTATTTTGAAGCTAAAATTGTTTTGGCTTTATTTATGCAATTACTTGTACAACTACAGTGATAAATTTCAGAATCACTGAAAGCAATTTTTTTTTTTCCATTTTTTGATTCATTGATTGTTGTCCTAGCCACCATCACCAACATTTTTATAGACAGAATAATACTGAAATGCCAAAAATTTCTATAAGTAATAAAACTAAAAACAAAATAAATAAAACTTGGTACTTTTTTTTCTCTTTGCGTAGCACTGTCTTTGTTGAAATCTAGCCTAAAAAATGCTGTTTTCATTTGGCAACACTGTATATTTGTAACCAAATATATATATATATATATATATTTAACTGCTTAACAAACATGGCTTTAGGATCAAGTATACTTGTGATCAAATGCAGCATAAACAATTTTTAAAATAACACAACAAAGTAATATGATAGAGATTTAGTGAACAAGCAAGCTAAAAGTCAAATCCACTGATGCTGATTTCAACGCACAAACAAAGCTATTTTACCCCCCTCCCCACAAAAAAACTTTGGTGACAGTGTAAAATGTATCATTTGATGTGTATCAAATTAATATGCTCATCTGAAATTGGCCAGTCATTCTGAAAAATGATGCATTATGTGGTTAGCTTTAATTTCCACAATGCCTCTAATTCCTGTAATGTCTAAGTACTTTACTTCTGACAGACAGGTACTTTTCATTTTAAAATTTTGTCTCAATTCAGTCAGTAATATAGTTCATTTGCATTATCTTTATACAAAATTTTAATGAGATATGTAATGTAATAAATTCTACTATGCAAGTGATTTATGTAAGAAATTCAATAGTGAATATCTAACACTTATTCTTAACACATTCCAGTATAACTAATAGCAACACTGAACTTACCTTCTACACACAATCTTGAAATGAAATATGAGAATCGTTTATATTTCTTTATATAGTCAGGCAAATATTTACATACATTTTCAGCTCTCGTACCTGGTAATGCAAGGTATTCAAATGCACTGTAAAAAGATAATTTTATAAGTTTTACAGCACATTTTGGGAAACTTGAACAAACAAATTATGATGTGAAATGGAAAATAATCAAAGATACTGTGGGATAAAATGTTGTGCTAAATAAAAGCTTTTTTTTAAATCCTTACTTAATGTCTCACTTAAGCTCAAAATTTTTTGGTGTGACCTACAAGATATAATACCAATAAAGAAAACTATTTGCATTTAATACTTTACTTTTTCTTATGAGGATTCTTTGTACTAATATTCCATTCTTTTGAAGTTTTGCTAATAGATTTCAAAATGTCTATACTCTCTTCTAACATACTTTTTACTTCCAGGAATTTTGAATATCGTTCTTCTGATACACATCCAATTTTATAACCTGAAAATAAAATCATTTTTCAAATAATAAGAACAGACTGATTTAAAATAAGTTCTGTTCTGCTAATTTTACTACACACAATGTGCCCACAAAGTCCTTATGTAGCCTTTAGCCTTTATTTTTATAATCAGTAGTTATGGAGATATCCTTTCAATTACAAGAATGTATTGGATGATGTAAAATTCATGTTATGACATTTTTAAATTAGAAGAGTCCATTTTGCAAAGATTACATAATCTAATACTTTATATGGCCCCTCAAACTCTCTACTTATCTTTAGGAAAATTTTATACTCTTTATAAAAAATAAAATAAAAGCTTGACTCCCATTCAACAAATACTGACTGAGATACTTAATTTCAAAATTTGGCATTTTTGTTGTCATTTTTAGTTTGAGAATTCAAGGTTGATTTTTGCCCCCTGAAATATTTTCTTCTCTGATTTAATAGTCTGTAACATTTTTTAATTTATAAATTTTGCTTCAACTAGTATGTTAAAAGAACTATCATACAAGTAATTTATAAGTTTTCAAATGCTAAAAATATTTTATATTATATATATAGTACATATATATATTCAAATATAGGTTGGTTAAATAAGTTACAGTAATTCAAGGTTGATTTTTGCCCCCTGAAATATCATTTCATAATATTCTTCTCTTATTTATTAGTCTGTAACATTTTTAAATTTATAACTTTGTTTCGACTAGTATGCCAAAGGAACTTTCAATACAAGTAATTTATAAGTTTTCAAATGCTAAAAATATGTTATTAATATTCTTATGAAGTTCTATTAATTTAGTATCACAATCATACAAAAATTCAATGCACTAAAATAATTTTTTCTTTTTAATTTAGGCAAATAATATTATGAACTGGCTACATGCAGGCCTGCGCCGACAATAGGTGGAAGGTTGTGCGGTGCATGACGGCGCCGAGTCAAAAGGGCACCGGGTGATCATTAAAACAAGCAGTTTGTCTCGCTGCCTGTCCGAACAGGAAAATTCTTGTCTTATTTGAACAACCCTCCGAGGATCGACTCAGGTAAAATCTGAGAAGCTACTAATTAGGATCTGTACTTAGATAGTCTCGGCTGTGGGTGTTTAAAATCAGTCTCCACAGGACTGGAGTCATCGCTGGCGATGGCTGTTTCAGGCTTGGCACAAACTGTATGGCACTGTCTTGTCTGTTCCTTTGGTTGTGGTAGAGCTATATTGTCAGACATTCATGGTTATCAGGAGTGAAACACCCCCATCAATGGAGCTGGAGAATTCAGTAAACCTTTAAACTTCTTGAAGTTTCCCAGTGGGCACCTGGAGCCTAGCCTCAAAACCGCATATTCGTATCCTTCCTTGGTTTTGCTCTGGGGGTGCCTAAAGCCGACATCTGTATACCATGACATAGTGTTAGCAGGTCAGATTGGTTGTCCAGTCTGTCCGGGGTTGGGGCCCCTGTTGATGGCAGATGTTTTTTACCATCCTTCCAGAACAGGTACGTGGAATGTGAATTGCTGAGTATTCCTGTCGACTCAGCCTAGTTGGCTTGACCGATAGGTTAGCAGCTTCTTGGATCACCTTCAAGGATGTTAAACTTGGGATGTTAGACTGTATTAAGGCAGCCTCAAACTTGCCAGGTCTGAGTGCCTCTTCCTCTTAGCACATTGTCTTATTTAACCGAAAGTTATAACTAGGGCAGGCGTTAGTCTCTGGTGTTCTCTTCTGTCTTATTTAAACGTGAAAATACGTGATGCCGATGTGAATGTAAGGGTATACGCATTTGACAATTTGCTTAATCCTTATTTTGTGTCTACTGTTGCAATAGTAGTAATTTGTGCAACATTTATCTTTTTTGTGATTGCTCGTTGTTATTATTTTTCTACATAAAAAAAAGTAAGTGCAGTTGCATATTATGTTAAACTTAGGTTAACTTTTTAATTCAGAAAAGCAACGATTTGAGAATAATTACTCGAAAACTGTTTACCTCTCCTGTTTGAACCATTGTCGTATTTTTGGCTGCATAAATTACTAATATCTAAGCCATGTTCCTTTAAAGCAGTAGTTCTCAACCTTTTGACTAACAAGTACCATCTAAACAAAAACTGAAAAACTTTAGTACCACCACTACATTTACAAAGATTATTTATCAGTTTCTCAAAGGTTAAAAAAAAAAGTGTATTTTGCCTTTTGCACAACCTGCTGGCTATTTGTATTAAATATGCACACATAAAAAATATTCAATCAAAAATTGGTTACCATTTTTATTATCAAAATTCATGTTATAATATTTTAACTCTAAAAATTTAGTGTGAAATTTGGGCCTGATCTTTATGTCTGGTCTAATTTCACTTAGTTTTAACCATAAATTAAGATCCACTTTTAATTTTATTCTCTATTTATTATTCAAATACAACATGGAAGAAAATCCTTCTTCCCACAAATAGATTTTGCAAAAAGGCAATAAAAATTTAATGCATTTATTTGAAATGCCTTTAAACAGTCCGTCCCCCCCCCAATTCAGCTAAAATTTAAAAATTCTGTAATTTTTAAAATCTTTAGTTAGAGTTTGATCTCAGGAAATTTCTATCAATTATTCTTTTTCTTCATGAGACCTTTGAATTTAATAATTAAATTTTCTTTGTTTCTTTGTGTAATACCTATTTTTTCCTTGCGTACTATTGGTTGAGAATCGCTGCTCTTAAAGTCTTTAATAAGAATGTTCTTCATCCTTCACCGGTCGTATCTGTTGTAATACAAAATATTAAAACCTTTCTTCAATACTCATGTCCGTATTTCCTAAATTAAGATACCTCATACAAATTGTTATCTGATGGCTGGATTTAGGGGTACAATCAAGTAAAATAGAAAAATGCTTTGCCTGTTTGACCTTATTAAAAATAATTTGCTTTATATTATCCCCTAATAAGCTAATTATTGAATTTTATATCCAATGTAATGAAGCATATTTTTTAGTTTGAATTTTATTAATATATGCAGACATGATAGGGTCAAATTTTGTGATCATTTCTATACACTTTAAAAATTTATTATTATTTTCGAACAATTTGTTATTGGAACCACAGAAGGTTAAGTTTTGTTTGGCTAAAAACTGAATGGCATAGATAATTCTTTCAATAACATTGCGGCAATGCTTAATCTCTTTTTTAATAAAATTTGAAATTCCAAATTAACAAGTTTATTCTTTCATAATCATTCTCAAAAATTGGATTAACTTTTTTGTTGTTTGACAAGATTCGACAAAAGTACATCTAAAAATATTTACATCCATTTTTGTCTTTTGGAAAACTGAAACTCGAAACCAGGTTTTGGTTAATATTCAGGACCATTTTCTATTAAGGCTTGAACTTGGGATAGCAATAATGGACTTGGGCATAATCCGGAATCATCAGGCACAGGCAAATGCGTATCTACTGCAGAAATTGTAGATTTCAATAGTATTTCTGCTGTTTTATTCGACTGGCTGCATTGACATTAAAGGTAATTCCTGGGTAAAAACACTTTCTAACTCTTTCTGATTATTAGGTTCTTTTGGTAATTTTAATGGTAGCTGAGATGTTGATGGACAACTAGTGCTAGTAGCGTCAGCTTGGGTATTCTGTGGGTTTTGGAAAAACTGATTAATTTATTAAGTCTTCCTCTCCCTTTCTTTTTCTTCATTACATTCTGATACAGTAACAATTTTTTCTGTTTTTTTTTTTTTTTTTTTTTTTTTTTTTTGTGATAGCTGGGGAAAAATTAAAACAGAAAAAGGGAAAGTAGAAAATAACTATTATAAGGACTATTGCATAAAACACTTCTTCTTAACAACACTCGGAAAGTCACTGTTTGAAATATTTTACCTTACTTCTGAGAAAGTGAGTACAGTACAAAGTCCATAATCCGGACTCGTCGGGAATTTGGCGATTCTGGATTAAGGGTTTTTCCGGATTACAGATCATCAATTTAAATCTGGTAAGATGGCATGCAGAAATTATAGAATTAAAAATAGGAAGAAACAAAGAGCAATTATGATCTAAAGGGCATCAAAATTTACAAAAACAAAGCTTAATATTTATTTGTTTACTTTATTAAACATTTCTTTCAATGTAAGTTGCTTCTTTTTTTGTGCTAAACGTGCATGCATAAAAGCATTACGCACATGTATAAAGCATACAAAAAAAAAAAAAAAAAGTTTGTGGCTTTGAGGTCCGGATTATAGATCTTTCCGGATAATGGACGTCCGGATTACAGACTTAGATCCATAAGATCTATAAGATCTAAGTCTGGAGGATGGATTATTATGGAGTTATATATGGAGCTAATGATACTATATATCTTAAACCACTGCTTAGAAAATATATGAACTATTAGATAAATACCAAATAATTCAAGGAGGTGGTGGTACTCTTTTGTTTATTAAAGTACATAATTCAAATTTAAAGTATGTATTTAAGACGTAATGAAATAATGAAACATTTTCCTTCGGTTTTCCGTATATGTAAAATCGGAAAATGGCCAATTTTTCAATTCAGAATACCTTGTATATTTTTACTTCACTTCAAATCTCAAACAGATATACTTTAAATTCAGTGGTACTCTGTAAATATGTCAATCCTTTCTTCTCAAAAGCTAATGATTTTTGTTTAATAATGTAAAAAAATCATGTAAAAAATCTTTTTTTCAAGTAATTTTGCTCAAATCATCACTTTTCTGAATTAAAAAGCTAACCTAAGTTTAGCATAATATGTAACTGCCCTTACTTTTTTTTTATTTTTTTTTTATGTAGAATAATAATAACAACAAGCAATCACCAAATACAAAACGCAAAAAAGATAAATGATGTACAAATTACTACGATTGCAACAGTAGACACAAAATAAGAACTAAGCAACTTTTCGAACCCATCTACGGCGCCCCTTGTACTCTTACATACGCATCGGCATCACGTATTTTCCGTTCACTTATACTATTTACAAGATCAGCTCAACTTATGTCAAAAACTGCAAAAAGCATTAACTGATAAAAATAAAAGTGATATAAAGAGTATAGATCTTATGGATGAACTGCAGTTTTTGCAAACTTTTGGAGGAAATGTAGCATCACCGGTTGAAGCTCTATGCTATATCATTGTCAAGAGCATAGCGGTGTGCAGAAAAGAATTTTGGATATATCCCTAGATATCAGCCTTAGAGTATTTTTTTGTGCTCCGCTGTAATCACAGTTTGAACCTTATTGTAAACTATGCTGCGAACAACAATTTATTCAGTGCAAACTTATTAGATATGTATATCAATTTGTTTTTAATTTTAAGGTAATAAATAGTCTTCAGCAATATATTTGGTATATTATTTCGCTTCGCTTGCAGTGTTACTTTTTTATAACATGTTGTTGTTGACTTATTGTTCACTTGTCTGACCTATAGTCGGGCCAAGCACACGAAATTCCTCGTGGGAACGAGCGCAAGATACGTTTGTTCTTGGCAACAGCTTTGAGCACCTTACAGGTGACAGTGCGATTTAGCTCAATTTTGCCCCCAATTTTGATGGACAGCATCCTGGGGGGGGGACGGGTCCAAGTGTCTAGCACTTCTCTTTCCCTACCACTAACCTTTCGAGAGGACTTTTGCCTCACATATTTGGAGCCCCATGCCGCACGCACACTATACATTTAATAACATTTATGCCTTCTCTAAGATTCAAACCCGGGCCCTTCGGCACGGCAAATAGCAACACTAACCACTCTAACGATTGGGAGGCTTTTTATAACATAAATGAATGTGTCATTCTTCAATAAATATGTTGAAGTGTGGGTTTTAACAAAGCACAAAATGTTTGCATATTTAGATAAGAGATAAAATGTAATTGTTTTGGTTTTTCATATTATTATGCTAATAATAATGCTTCATTTTAAATGTTAACCATAAACAATGTCCCTTTAATATCGTCACTATATAAAGGCACTCGCTAGACATTTGCACAACGATGCCGATTAGGCTTGGCACGAGCCTGGTTACATGTCAGTACTCAACCCTGCAGTGCTTTTAAGGTTTAGTTATTTGAGTATGACAAAGCACACAAGGGTTTAAATGCCTAAGGGGTGGCATACCTTCATGAAGGATTTAGGGGGAACTGGCTGATATCCAAATTATACATGGGGAATATCCTGAAAACCAACAAGCAGCCAATCATTTGCTTAGGACCGAAACCATGTTGAACTCCTAGTATTTAGTTATCCAAATTACTTAGCCACTAAGGGGCACCAATGCTTAAGAACATGGATTCTATAAAATTATGTAAATAATATTTCTTTTCTTTTTTTTTTTTTGAAAAATTACATACTGATAATTACTTTCTATGATAATTTGCATAGATATGCTCATAACTTAATTTATTAACATCAGAAAGCTTTTTTCTAAACTAATATTTTATTTTTAGTTATACACACTTATATACAAGCAAATATTTAAAATCAATTTGAATACAACCCTGAATATGATCTCAAACTTTAAAATTAAATATATTTCAGTCAACAAGATTCCCACATTGTATATTTTATTTTTTTTATACTGAGCAGGAAACTTTTCTAAATATAATTATAGGTATGGAGTTATATATTTTAAATACAACTATAGGTATGTTAAAAAAAGTTAACTGTTTTAATATTTACAAAATTGATTTCTTTTAAAATTTTAAAATTCCAGAACATGAATGTTTGCTTATTTTGAAATACTTCTGAAACTAGAAATGTCTATGACCAATGGTTGCAGAAGGACATCTGCGAGCACACTGTATAACATATTTACATGTAATTAAACACTATAAAAAATTAAAAACACATTTTTAATATTGTTATGAAATGTACAAACGCGGTAGGATGGCTTCCCAGCAAAGCAGTTTTAGGGTTGCCATAAAATATCAAGGAAGGCAGGGTTGCCACATTTGGTGACAAAATTGGCAATATGCCATGGACGGATGGAGAACCTTCTGGAACAAATTCTTACCGGTTTAGCCTAGAATGTTCTCGAACGCAAGCCGAAAGCTATATAAACCCTGCTGGTCTGCAGTCAGTGAGTGCCTCGTCTAGTGCGAGATAGTTAGTCAGTCCGTGCGGAGTCGATCGAGTTGACAGCTGGCCAGCGAGTGCTGAGTGCGTCATCGAGTTCATGGAAAAAGTCTCTTAGTGTATCGCGGTTAGTGCATTGCCGAGAGAGTGTATTCAGCTCCGGTAACAACTGAACTGAAGAGTCGGGAGCTCTGCTCTATGTGTCGTCGAGTGCATCGCGAGTTGAGGTGTAGCGTGGAGAGTCTCAAGAATATGTGGAGTTCTGAGAACGACTGAGCAGAGTCAGGAGCTGTACTCTGCTCTGGTGCTTTCAGCGAAGCTGTTTCCACCGTTATAGCCTGATAACCTGAAGGCTGGGTCGCTGATTGTTCCGGCGAGTTTATAGTAGATCTTCGACGACTGAAAAAAGTGACTTGTAAAAAAGGTGTCCTGGTTAATACTGGCTAAATAAAGTGTGTTTCGATACTTCATCAATTGTCTTTGTTATTCCCTCCAAATCCACGAACCCCGTATGAACGTGAAGGAAGAAAATAACGTAACAACTGCTGTCAGAAAAAAAAACGTAACAATATTAAATCAATATTTATAATTCAGTTATTGGCAGATTTCTACTCATTTCTCACATAGCTCTTAGAATGTAAGACACAAAAAAAGATATTATCATGCTGTTTTTTACTTGACAAAATGTAGCTTCATATAATTCAGCCTTCAAATTTTTCTAGATTAAACACACCAGGAAAATTTTGCAGTTTGCACTTATACATAATAAATAAAACAGCAATAAAGTATATAAAACAGCATGCAATAATCAAAATAAATATAAAAAATATGATAATTAAAATAATGAATAATTAGATTTACTGAATATATAAATCATTAGCTCTAGAAACAGTTATGGAAAAAAAAAAAAGTACCTCTTTCTGTTAGACGCAAATCAGCATTATCAGGTCTTAAATACATTCTAAACTCAGCTCGGCTAGTGAACATACGATATGGCTCAGTAGTACCAAGAGTTGTTAGATCATCTATTAAAACACCAATATAACCTTCTGTTCGTTTAACAATGAAAGGATCTTTTGCTTGTACTTTACAAGCAGCATTAATTCCAGCAATAATTCCCTAAAATATACAGTTAAACATCTGCTTTCATTTTAAATTCCCTTTTATATTATAGCTTAGATAAGTAGTTATTAAAAATGATACACATAAACAAACTTATAATAATATATATATATATGAGTTAAAATAAATACAATAAAATTATCAAAATAGAAGAGAAACAAGTCAAAGTGAAACATAAAATTAGAAAGCAATAACTTTGTGTATAGCATAGATTTAATCAAGAACTCAATCAATTTCAAGGGCAAACAAGTACATGTCCTTCTTCATTACGAGCAAAGAAATCTGTAAGCCTGGAAACCAGCGAGTGCAATAGTCATATTAATATACTATGGCAGTAAAGCGAATGAGAAAGCAGCACCATCTGTTGGCAAAAATAGAAGTGAAATTGAAAAATTAAGCTAATAGAATTTTAAAAGTGTTAAGATGGACTGGATTGGACTTAAACTTGTACTAATGCCATCACAATACGAGCATTGTGCCTGCTGATTTCAAGTCAAGCAGATTTCTTTGCTTCTGATGAAGAGGGACATGCACCTGTTTGCCCTTGTAATCAATTGAGTTCTTGACTAAATCTATGCCAACCACAAGGTTGTTGATTTGCTAACAAAAAAATTATGCTGAAATTCTAGGTATTATTATTTTGCATCATTTTTTGTTAACACATAAGCAATCTCATTCTGATATAAAATAGACAATAACAAATACAAAATAATAATACATTTATTTGCATATTCTCCCTAGATTTTCAGCATATGATTAAAACATTTCTGATGCTATGGCAGTAGCATGCACAGTATGAAAATACAGTAAATTTAATGTGGAATTAAAAAGAATAGTATTGAAATCAATAACTGCAATTGTTTTCTCAGAAATATTAAATGCAGTAATAGTAATCTATCTATCTGCAGGTTTGCATTGTTTAATTTGCAAGATTTTCTTTAACTCTTTGCTTCAGAAATGAAATAGTTGCATAATTTCCCCCTCCAAATTTTTAAGAAGTAAAGCAGAAGAAATAAGTGAAAAAATATAATACGTATAAGCTTATCAAGCACATATAAACTAAAGAACAAAATGGAAAACTCTAGTCAAATAAATGATATTTCTTTAGCAGGAGTCCAAATTGTAGCTAAAGAGGCAGTAATCCAGCAGTGATGTCATTTCTATTCAGAATAACATGTTTCAATGACTAAATATGACTTTGCTTTGGATTTATTGTTCAGCACTACTACGCATAAAATATTGTATTTATACATTTACTTGCATATATCTAAATTAGGAAAAATATTAACAATTAAAATAAACAAGCATTTTCTTCATACAACCTTTCCTTTTGGAATGAACTGCACTAGAATAAGGGTTCTCTAGTAGGATTAGCACTGGCCCCTTGGGGACTGATGAAATTTTAAAAGGGATCAATGATGATACAGGGGTTGAAAGCTAAATAGGCTTTATTATACTGACCACTTGCCAATTAGTATTATACTTAGTATAATAAAGCTTCTACTGTACCAATATTATACTATACTGAGCACTTGCCAATTGACATTGGCAAGTGGTCAGTATAATAAAGATCAGTGTTTGCAGACATAATGACTGTTTTTAGTGTTTTATATATGTTTTTCATACTGTAATAGAATTTTTCCTTGAAATTGTTAACACTATGGCAACACAATTCATAAAATTAAAAAAAAAAAAAAAAATATATTATACTTGGCTGATATATATCGTTGCATGCGTAAGGGTTCGTAATGGATTGAATGCACACAGAACTGATGAGAGCTTGACAAAATTTATTTTCTCAAGAGAAACACTACAGTTCTGAAACTTTCCACAAAGCACTGATTCTCGGTTTCCCAGTGCACAATCACTAGTTCCATTTCAAACTACTCAGAATATTAAAAATAATGCAATGCAAAGTGCATCTAAAGGATGAAACTCGCACAGAGATATCAATACTCTGAAGTCAGCTATGAACTAAAAACTGACAGCTGATGCTCTCTCCAGACTTGCATAGATTTCCCCCATATACTGGGGAATCTCCAGTACCTTTCATTTCTCCTTGTGCTATTATTTTTGTGGACATATTTAACTTCTTCATCATTAATTCTGAACGGGTTATGTCCTCAGAGGCAGAATGCAGTTCGTTATTTTTGAAGTCCAAGAAAAAACTGAATTTCTTAACTGAATCTGCAAAGGTCTACAATATTTGCTACAGTGTGATGGCAGGCAGCCCTTCCAAGTATAATGCTAAGGTTTACTTTTTAATTGATGTCGATTTTATCCCATACAGTCTGGAGAGTAATACAGGAGGCGTCCAGATGAGTTTCCTTTTCAATTGCTGAGCCAAATCTTTTCGGATGATATAACCTTGGCTCCTGTATGAATGGTCATATTAACAAGAAACTCCTATGATATGTCTGATGATGAACAGTCAGCTACTGCGGCCACTCACTGCAGAAATCTGAAGTGCTTTCAAATGGGACTTCTCAATATCTGGCAAATTCCACCCTGCGAGATGGCCACTAATTAGTTTCCATCTTCTTTGCTGGAAGCAACCTTAGCTTCTGTGCCTTGGGGTGTTCTTTTGCAGTTTCTCCGTATGTGGCCTTTTTGTCACACCTATTCCATGTCAAGGTATAGTTAAATTATTGTTAGTTAAGTAGTTAGTTAAATTGTTGATCCACTGGCTCCTGGACATGAGCAGCTTTGACTGTGTGGTGGTATCTACAGGCATCTATGCTGGTGGTATCTACAGGTATCTATGCTTGGTAGTGCTTTTTAAACCCTTGACATCTGCTATTCACAGGACCTTCTTTACCTCAGGATCCTGGATGCCATCTATCAAGTACTTCAGGAACAGTATTTCTCTTGTTTCGAAGAAAAAGCCTTAAAACATGAGTTGAGACCACTTTTCAACATCTGTAGCAAGCTCCTGGAGTGTTTTCATGGGCTTCTGTTGGCAAGATTTTAACTGAAGCCTGCTACAGCCTTTTAAACACATCTCACTAAAATGCAGCTCCAACATACCAGACTAAGTTTCGAAGTCTAGCCTCTAGTTTTTGCGAAAAGTTTGGAGGATATCTGCTGCGTCTGCTCTCAATGAAGCGGCGAGATGGCAGGCCTTAGTTTGGAAATTCCATCCATTTGCATCTGCACTACAGAAAACTGTGTCTTGTACACTTGACAGGAGGTCTTTCCATCATATGTATATAACTTCAGAGAGGGTCGAGAAGACATGGCTAGTAATTTAAAAGCGTCAGAATTGTTTTTTGTTGAAATTAAGGATTTCTTTAAGCTGTCAACTTCCTTGGTGACTGCAGCAGAAACTTTGTAATCAATTTGTTGAACAGCTGAAATTTTTTCTTTGATTTGTTGTTTGACAGCAGAAACTTTGTAATCAATTTGTTGAACAGCTGAAATTCTTTCTTTGATTTGTTGTTTGATAGTAGAAACTCTTATTTTAGTTTGTTGTTCAGCAGCAGAAACTTTCTTCAATTTTTTCAACTTTGCTTTCAACCACGTCTATTTTCCTTTCCACAGCTTCACATCTTTTTTCTATTATGGCAGTAATTTCTCTTTTCATTTCTCTTGAGCTGTTTCAGTATCTTCTTAAACAGATTTAACTGTTCTTTCCATTCTTTCTTGGCCTCCTTTCATATCTTTTTTAATGAAATTTATGGGCCCTTCTATCTTATCTTGGAATGCAGAAAAAGGCTGTTAGCAGCTGTCTTAATTGCTCTTCTATTGCTCTTGTGACCAACACTCAACCACAGTCCTCATACCAAAAAATGCTGAGTGCATACAAGTTTCTAATGGAATGAATACACACATAACCAATGATAGCTTGAAAATTTTTTTTTTTTTTTCCCAAAAAGAAACACTTTATAGTTCTGAAACTTTCCATAAAAGCACTCATACAGCTCTTCTCAGTATCATAAAGCACAATCAGTAATTACACTTCAAATTTCTCAGATGTTAAACACAACACGATACAAAGTGCAATAAAATGTGAAGCTCGCACAGAGATCTCAATACTTAAAAGTCAGCTCTGAGCTAAAAACTGAGCGCAGATCTCCAGGTTCTAGGTTCCACTATATGCAGAGATTATTGTGTATATTTACACAACTACAACTTGTTTCAGCTCGCTGAGGTGGTGCCCGAGAGAATGCATGACAATAAAGGCTCAAGACTGATGTAGGCCAAAGGCAAGGAGATGAACGGGAGGTAAAGAGAGGTGACTCTTGTCACTGAAGCTAGCAGCCAGCATCTTGAGACAGAAGGCGCCAAAGTAGTATCTGTGAATTACACATTCAAATTCACCCCAAAATTGGCATGTAATATGTCAAACTGCTCAGAAAATATATACAATATGATAAAATTGAAAGTGAGCACTTAGGAATATTTTACAGTCCACCAGAAGAGAATAAAGCGAAGTTAATCTTAACTTAGAGGCAGTCGAGCCCTGATTGTCTGTCAGGGTCTTAAGGCTGTCCAGTGCAATAGAGTTAAGTGGGAAAGTTATCAACCATCATGAATGCTGCAAGTGGAAACAAGTATCGATCTTCTTCCAGAATTTCATAGTGGAAGGTGCCAAAATACTTCATTGTCATACATTCCTTGGTATTTCTGAAGAAGCATTCATTTGCTATTTTCAGGAAACTTTCTACAGGTTCAACTTTTAAGTCTGTGCACAAATTCGTTTCTCACACAGTAGTGAGAGTTAGTAATGACAGTTAGGAACTTTGACTGTACTGTTTGAAGTTTATAAATGTCATTTCTTGTAGCAGCTGCCCATGCCAGAGAGGCATAAGTGAGAATGGGCTTGATTACTGAGAGATAGATAATCTCTTCTTGGTTAGGTCAAGCTTAGAACATCTTATGATGGGAAGCAGTAAGTGCATGACATATAGAGCTATGTGTCTCACAAAGTTAACATGGTCGGTTTAGGTGAGGTGGTCATTAATGTAGACTCCCAAACATTTGTCTTTTCTCACAAT